AAGTTTTGTATTATTTCTCAAACTATATCTGATTATTAAACAGCTGGTTACTTTAACCACATCGATTAACCAGTCTTATAAAAAGCTTTGAAAAACTTCTCAAATGGTGAATTTGATTCCTAACTCCTACACTGCAAATTATCAACACAGCAGTATACTCTGTCTGATTATTCTTTAGATCTAAGATGGTTCAAAAACTATGTGATGAAGAGCTAGTCTACACTAGAAACACTACATCGGCGTGGCTTCACCGATGCAGCTGTGCCGTGGTAGCACGTCTGGTGAAGACTCTCTATGCCGACGGGAGAGGGCTCTCCCGTCAGCATAATGAATCCACCTCCGCGAGAGGCGGTAGTTATGTCGGTGGGAGCTCTACCGCCAACATAGCACTGTCCACATCGGCGCTTAGGTTGGTGTCACTTATATCGCTCAGAGGGGTGGCTTTTTCACACCCCAGAGCCATGTTAGTTATACCGAAGTAAGTGGTAGTATAGACCTGGCCTTAGTCTTTGTAGTTAGATATACCAATTAATATAGATTACATTTCATATTCAAATTTCTTTAAAGGTGAGCAGACAAGGAATATATATTTTTAATTTACTCCTTTTTTTATGGAATGTGAAAAAAAGCTTGAATGTCAGCCAATATAGGTTTAAGTGTTTTCACTAAACTAATATTTCAAAGGCTCTCCAACTTTTCATATCAAAACAAATAAACAACACAACAACAATATAACGTCACATTACAACAATAGTAACCATGTTCGTGACACTGACACCTCAATTTTAGTCTGCTTTCTCTGCTGAGACAACACAGAAATCATGAATTCTGCATTATGGTATGGTACCTTTCTGTTGTGGGGCAAAAAACCTCTCCCCAGTATAATTAAAGACACTGACTTCCTTGTGTAATTAAAGAAAGAAGCAAAACAGTGGAAGCTGCAGTTCTCTCATACTCAAATATGCTAAGAATTTAACAATATCACACAATGACTAGCTTTTACCTCTCCTAGCCCCTCTGTAAATGGGAAGTAGACCATTTTTTCCATTTTGTAACTATAATACTCCAGGCAAGTTTAGTGGACACTATGAACACAGCAGCAGCCCACATCTCTCAAGCTACCTCCTACAGTGCTGGTGCCCAAATTTAAGACAGGTTAACAGAACTGGATATCAAGCAGTGTTTTCTTCCTTTACAACAGAGCAGTCCATGTTTGTTTCAGGTGTTCATCAGTGTATCTGACTCAGAGTTCCTCACATTTTCTCAGATAAGGGGAAGAGGAAAATTAAGTATAACATGTTCTATGTTCTTAACAGCTTGTCTGGTTCTGCTGCTGATTATTCCTCTCTGAAGCCAAAATCCTCATTTTTTCACACTGCACTTGATTACTGCATGAAGGATTATGATGCCACAAACAAAGAATTACAACCTTGGGGCAAATTAACTGAAGAAATCATAATCCTGCTTTCATGGGAAAAAATAGAACTAAAGAAAAAACCTCTAGAACATGACCAGAAAAGGGGCTTATGGAGAAGGTATTTCTATAGAAATTCCAAGTACTGTAGTATAACAGCTATTTGTATTCCAGTAGCAATGGTATAAGCTTCTTCTTTAAGCGTTTTAGCCAGCCCAACACAGCTTTTGTGGCTAATAGCCCATGGAAATTCCACAGACTTCTCTAGCTATGATCAGGGAGGCTGCTCCCTATTCCAAGAAGATATAACTTAGAGAATTTTATACTACTTCTCAACAGAGACTGTGTAAGGACCAAAGCAGCATTAGATAACCACCCACGACCATCCTGACATGGCTATGGTCTCATGATAATATCACACTGATAAAGAGTAATCCTCCTTCCCCAATACTAATACGGGGGAAGGAATGGTTTCCTGTCTGAAAAGGACAATATTCAAGAGGCTTTATAATCCAAACAAGAACCCCAATGTCTCACAGTTCTGTTACGGAACTGCCAAGGTCATCTTTACTTACGTAGAGATTTCATATGGTATGGTAAGTTCCTTCTGCTCCATGGTATATATTTTAATAATTCTATCAGCACTCAAGCAGTATATAATTTCTCTTTGACCAGAGAGAGGCAAAGACATTTTAGAATATGAGATGAGTGGAACAAAAAAATTTGCTATTAAAGTGACAATGATGTTTGTTATTTATTTTTAAACAGCTCCACAGCTAAAAAGAGAGATTGGACTGAAACCTAGAAAGGAAGAGAGGTGTTATGATGAAATTCGGTTTTGTTTGAGTGAGCTAGAAAGCTTTGTAAATATTGCATGCCATGCTCATATAGTACATTCTACGTCATGTGTTTTTTAAACAAATTCACAAAACTTGCAGCTAAGGAAGGCTGACTATGCACAGGTGCCTGGTTAAAACAGTTGTGCGGAGAAAAATATACTGAAGGTACATATACACAGAGGATTTACCAAATAAAATATAATCTATTAGTCAGAGCTGTTGGCTGAAAAGATATCATTAGAAATTAAAAAGTTCTGCTCTTTAATCAGGAATATTTTCATGACAAAGTTCAATTTTTCATTACAAGTTTTGCAGCTGCTTGGTCGATTTAAAAAGTGGCAAAATGTATTTCTTTTGTATAGTGGGAAACGTATATCCACCCTCCCTGAACTCGAAACTCACTGAGCTCAATGACAGCACCCCCTCTCCCGCCCTCCCAAACTAGTAAAGAAAAATTCACCTTCAGGCAAAGCTTAAAATATTGCAGCCCCAAAAGATGAAAGTTACAATCTTTCATAATTACTGAAAACAGGGAGTTTGAATGCTGGCCATTATACAAACTTAACCATAGCTGTCCCTTCCACTTCTACTGTAACAAAAAAAAATCAAGATTAATGTGCCCCAAATTTAAATTTGAGTCAAATTATGCAGCATTCAAGGTTTTTGTTTGTTTGTTTGTTTTAAAAACAGAACTGCAGAGGAAGCACAATAAGCACTCACTATCAAGTCACAAGAATTCTTATTATGGCCCAAACCCCAAACACTCATTCACGTGTTTAACTTCAATGGGACTACTCATGGGTGTAAAGTTAAAGCAAATGTGCATTTGAAGGTTTGAGGCCTATATTAAAAGGGTAGAGTCCAGGGTGTTCAACTAACACAATTTACTGCATATATACACTGAAGAAAAGAGATACTGGAATCACTTGTAGGTAGTTCTCTGAAAACTTCAGCTCAACGTGCAATAGCAGTCAAAAAGGCTAACAGAATGTTAGCAACTATTAGTGAAGGGATAGTAAAGAACACTGAAAATAGCATAATGCTACTATATAAATCCATGGTGTACCCATACCTTGAATACTTCTGGTTGCCCCATCTCAAAAAGGATAGAACGTAACCGGAACAGGTTCCAAGAAGGGCAACAAAGATGAAGGGTATGGAACAGCTTCCATAAAAGAAGAGACTACAAAGATTAGCGCTGATCACCTTAGAGAAGATGCAACTAAAAAGGATATGATAGAGGTCTACAAAATCAGGAATGGTGTAGAAAAAGTGAACAGAGAAATATTATTTACTCTTTCCCACAAAACAAAAACCAGCTGCCACCCAGTGAAATTAATAGGCAGCAGGTTTAATACAAAGAAGAGGAAGTACATTTTTGCACAATTAACTTCTAGAACTCATTGCTATGGAATGTTGTGATGGTCAAAGTATAACTGGGTTAAAAAAAAAGAACTAGATAAGTTCATGGAGGATAGATTCATCAATGGCTACTAGCTAAGATGGTTGAGAATGCAACCCCATGCTCGGGACAACCCTAAACCTCTACCAGAAGCCAGGGGGGAGTGGGAAGGGGAAGAAAGGTGGATCATTCCAACTGCCCTATTCTGTACACTAACCCTGTAGCTCTGGTTCTAGCCATTGTTGGAGACAGGATACTGGACTAGACAGACCATTGGTCTGACACAGTATCATAGTTCTTATGCTGCTGGGTTCTTCTATTCCTAAGAAGAAAGGGGAGAGATGTTATCTACACTGAATGCCAAATCATGTTTGAGATCATGTTAGAGCAGTGGTTCCCAACCCATGGACCGCTTGTGGCCCAGTTGGCACACAGCTGAGGCCCATGTGGCATCCTCAGGGACATACAGGTAGCATATATATTGTGTGGATGCACCAGCCCACACAACACATAGAGAGCTGCATATGAAGCCCACAATGGTAAATAGGTTGAGAAGCACTGTGTTAGAGTATGTTTACACTGGCTGTGTTAGAAAACATAACTAGCATGTTTTCTAATACCACAATGCTAAATACTAAATGGAGTTATTTGATGTTGTGTTAACTAATGTGCTGTCACCCTATGTATTCCCCCAGTGTAAGACATGGGGAAAATCAACACAGACACAGAGAGACCTCTTTAAGACCATCTATTGTGTCTGGTCTTATATTTAGAGTGTAAGCTCTTTGGGGGCAGGGACTGTCTTTTTATACAGTGTATAGCACAATGGGGTCTTGGTTCATGACTAGGGCTTTTAGGTCCTAGTGTAATATAAATAATAATAATAATAAAATATTAGGAGTCAAAGTGAATCAGCACTATGCCCATTTTATCCTTGGCCTCCTCTCTAACACTGCCAACTAGAAGCACACCAATTACAGTGATGATTTATGATGCAGTCACCTGGGTAGTAGAAAATGGAATAAACAGGAACAACTCATTTCACAGAAACTACCAAGTGTGTACAGCATGAATGTGTGTTAGTTCCCATGATCTGGGAAATGAAGGGCTCTGCATGTCAACTCACCTGAAGAAGGACAAGACATCAATTCACTTGGGTGCATGGGGAAAAGAGAATGGCAAAATGACACAAGCATTACAAAATAATGAAGGGTTGTGCAAACCACGTGATGTGCAATCTATGTGAAGAAACACTTGTCTTAACACTACCCCAGCATTACAGCTGGGGATGGACAGCACATGAAACCCTAAAATAGATGGACATCACCACCACCATGGTACCAACCTGGCACATATTCAGTCTCAAAGCGTCGTCTGGTTTCGCTAATTAAGGCAGCCTTGTCCTGCTGCTGAGAAACAAGAGGATAAACCCGGTATGAGACCCCCACACCCCTTTCCCAGGTATCCCCCTCTCCCCCAGTTCCCCCCACCCCACTCCTTTGTGTCTTCCAACCCACATGGTCTCCAGTGGTCCCCCTCCCCTGTCCCCGACCCCATACCCTCCAGCAGTTCCCCTCCCCAGTCCTTCGTGTCCCCACCCCCCGCAAGTTGGACACCCTCGTTTTCCCCGGGGTCAGCGGGCTCCGCAGTAGGGAGGGGGAGGGGACAGAGACCGCCTCGCTCTCGCGCAGCTACTCACGCCGGCCATGGTCCCGCTGAGGTTCCCCGGTCCCCGCAGCAGCTGGTGACAAGGCAGCGGAAGGGGAGGGGAGCGCGTGACGAAGAGAGCAGCGGGGGGGGGGAAGCAAGGGAGCGCCGACTAACGCCGCGCGCTTCCCGGAACTACCCCCACAGGTCAATCAGCCCGCCGCCGTCCGCCCCCATGACGCCCGCCTGAGAGACAGCCCCGCCCCTCCCAAAGCCCCGCCCAGCGCCTGCCCGTCATTTCTTGTCTGTCTCTCTCCCCCTCCCCCCCGCCAGCCTTTCCGGGAGAGTTTCCTTTCCCACAATGCTTTGCGTGGCGGGCCATTCAGAGCCGGCCGGGAGCAGCTGAGCTGGGAGCTGTCGGCGCGCGCGGCGCACAGGGCGGGTAAGGGCGCGCGCGGGTGGGGCAGGGCCCGAGCGCGGCCAGGTGCGGTCTGCTGCCCTTTGCCCTCAGCGCCACCGCGGCGGCGGGGCCGGGGCGCAGTTAGCGAAGTTACGGGGTCGGGAGGTTCGTGCCTGTGTAACGGCCCCCGCGCCTGGCGCCTCTGGCTGCTGCCTAGGAACAGCTACGGAGCGCCTCGACCCCCCCCCGTGTGTTCAGCCCAATCCTCGCCCCGCCCGAGCAACGCTCACCCCCTTGGGGGCACGTGTTGAGCTGCGAGGGGCCGGGGCAGGGCCGCCTCTCTGGGGTAGGCGGCTAGTTACTCTGCCTGGAAGTAAGGGATTGGCTGTGTAAAGAGCGATGACTTCAGGTGTGGGCTGAAGGGAGGACCCCGCAGCGCAGCGAAACCCGTGGCTGAGGTTTGGGCTGAGTTTTACTTTTGGCATTTAATTTACACATCTCAGGAAAGGACTTTAGTAAAGTGTGTTGGGGGCGAGGGGCAGATTGGGAAAGGTGCTGCCCACTCTTATCTAGCTTGGGAATCGGACTCTCCTGACTTACACGAACAGCGTTCATCTAGTTCAGGGGCAGGCAACCTATGGCACGGGTGCCGAAGGCGGCACGCGAGCTGATTTTCAGTGGCACTCACACTGCCCGGGTCCTGGCCATCGGTCCAGGGGGCTCTGCATTTTAATTTATTTTTAAATGAAGCTTCTTAAACATTTTAAAAACCTTATTTACTTTACATACAACAATAGTGTTGCCAGCCCAAAAGGGCCCGAGGAGGCAGCAGCGGGGTTCGTTGCCTGGTGTGCGCCGCACTAATAGACACACCAGGTATGGAGAAGTAAACCAAGTTTATTTGAGATCTCAAATTGTTGCTGAGAGACAGGCGCATCTCAAATCAAGCACAGCACATACAAGCAAGTTTTCTCTTTTATATTCCAAGCTCTGTTCAGTAAGCCTTTTGTTCTGGTTTCTCCCTCATACCCCTCCCTACCCAATAGCAGTTACAGCAGGTACACATTGTGCATGTTAGAAAAGTTTCCCTTCGCCTGCTTATCTTTTGGCCTTGCAAGGCCTGTGCAGCAGTCTTCCCCCGTCTTATCACTACGTTTCTGTTAGTGCGAGCAAAACAGCAGCTGTCTGCTAGAAAAAAGCTGACCCTTACATTTCTGCTTCAGCCTGCTTCAGCATGTAAGCAGCTAGCATAGAAGTAGGTGAAAGTTCACAAGATGGAGTCACTGTGGTTCACTTAGACCCAGAGCAAAGGAGTTTCATCGGCACTTATGGCCTTCCACTCCCCCGAGTTACCTGGTAGCTATGCCTAGTGACACCAACAATAGTTTCGTTATATATTATAGACTTATAGAAAGAGACCTTCTAAAAACGTTAAAATGTATTACGGGCACACGAAACCTTAAATTGGAGTTAATAAATGAAGACTCGGCACACCACTTCTGAAAGGTTGCCGACCCCTGATCTAGTTGATAGCTGAACTATCAGACTGAATAGAGAATCTAAGTGTTCTGCCCACATTCAAAGTTGTAAAATGTACACATCACCTGATAAGTCACTTGCAACTTGCATTTCTCACCACATTGATGGTGTGAGTTGCAACATCCAGTGGCAACCATTCAATTGGTAATTTCTGAATGTGGTCTGCTGCTATATTTGGGCTGGTTCAGCTTGGCTAGTCCAAGGATGGTTAGGTATGCAGAGAGCTACTTTTCTATCTAAAGTGTACAAGTTAGTAAAGTTTTTCTCTTTTGTGAATTATACATCCTTAATACATGTAGTTATAAGTAGCTTATTGATATCTTTCATCTTGATCAAAAAGTATGACTGAAGAGGAGAGCTGTTGGAATCCATGACAAAACAATGCCATAAATGGAAAACCTTGGACGATCTCCAGATTTTGGTGCTAGAAAAAATCCTATCTGCCCAGTGAACATCTGCTACTGTAAAAAGCACTTTGCTAAACAGAGCAGAAGAATGCAACTAGTATTGTAGCTTTAATGCGAATATACTGTAATATGCGGCAGCCAAGATTTTACATGTAGTTTAGAACACTCATTTTTGTAAGATTGTCTTATTAAGTACTTGGAGTAATGGGGGGATTCCTCACTGGATGGCTAGAACAATAGTTCCCTTCCTTTTGGATCATTCCTAGATAGAAATTTTATCAGAGGTGTTAACTTGCTTTTTAAATGAAAATACTATTTCTGCAAAGTTTGTTACTTGGAAAAACCTATTTTGGTGCAATCTTAAGGCTTATCTTGCAACTTGCTCTGCACAGACAGGTACCATTTCAGCACACGGGTGAATTAGTTGCAAGTTCTGGGTCTTTAGATACACTGAATTTGAAAAATAGGAAATGGCGCACACATACTACAGTGATGAGGATGTTATAAGAATCTGTATAAAATAGGAACCTCACTTTTGCAGACTATTTATAAATCTTGGGTATTTAAGTGATTTCCATTACTATAATATCTGACTGTCACAATCATTAATGTATTTATCTTCACAACACTGATGTGAAGTAGGGAATTACTACTATTCCTGTTTTACAGTTGGGGAACTAATGTACCGAGTGACTAAATGACTTGCCCATTCCTGTGGTAATGTTAACTTGTGTTCATTGGATGGGTATAACTTTGTTTGTACAAGTTACTAGTAGATGTACTAATACAGGTTAACAAATTACTTGTAACATGGTCTTTTATAAATTGAATGTGGTCACTTTTGTTTTTGTGGGACTGTTAATGAAAAAAAATGTATCCACGAAAACTTCAACTAAATTTTTACTATAAATGTTTTACAACAAATTTTAATCCATTTTTTATCTATTATCTCTTTCTTATTATTGTGCAATTTGTGAATGGTAACTTGTAGCCAGGTTGTATTTCCAGGGTGGATTTGATTTAAATCAAATTGATTTAAATCACTAGTCAGGAAGACTCAATTTAATCATGGATTTGTACATAAAAGTGCATTTTTGTTGGTTGTTATAACCTTAATACATATTCTTCACAACTCAGAGATAGATGAAGGTTTCATTTTTAGAAGGTACACACTACAGTGATTTATTTTGAAAACTTGTCTGATTAGTTTTACAGCTATATCAGAAAATGAATGATTGGTTATTTCATTTACCAAAGGTAATTGAAGCAGATATTTATGAAGTCCTTGGGAGGTGAACTATCTCCAATTCAACAGGTTAGTTGTTAATATTTGGAGGATTTTCTTGCCATGCTGTATTAGAAGGAGAACATCAGACAGACAGACATTTAAATCATTTTATTTAACTAAAACAACAACGTTATGTATTCTGGATTTTTTTTTTTCAAAAGCAAACATATAATATTTTAACAAAAAAAGCATATGAATTTTTGAATTTAGTTAAACATTCAAGTATTTTAAAATCAGGTTTGTTTTTGTTAAAATTGTTTTTACTAAAATGGTTAAATGAAATATTTTTTAAAAATTTAAATCGACTATGTCAGCCAGGTCAACATGAGAAATTTAAAATACTGGCTTCTGTAGCTAACTCAGTCATCTTCACCTTCATTTTCCTGTTTGTTCATAATCTGGAAAAGAAAAACAAGTTTTCCTGCTTTTTCAGGTCCCAAACGATTTCTCAATTTGGAATGAATTAGTCCAAAGGAAGAAAATATTCTTTCTACACCGGCAGAAGAAGCTACTGCTGTTAAAAGTGACATTATCACTTCAACAGTCTCTGAATCCAAGTGTTTAAGTGACTTCCACCAATTCACTAGTGTGACTTTCTTTAAACCACCATCAGTAAACATATATTTCTTGAATGGTTCACCTTTAGCTCTGAAGTTTATTATAGTCGGCATTATGGAGGGATGATTCCTGGATGTCCGTGTCATAGCCAACTCCTCTTCTTCAGCAGTTAAGGTTTGACCCTGGTACCGAGTATTGAGAATATTTGCAAGAAAATGAGCTGGAGATAGTGCTTGTCCCATTTGTTTTTTTAATGCTTGTAATTTAACTCTGTCAATGCATATTTCTCTTTTTAAGATCTCACTCAGTTCCTTCCATATTTCAACAGCGTCAGCAATAAAACAACTATTTCCCTGCATTATTTCCCTGCATTTTGTTCAAGGCTACAGAAATAGGCTTCAGGGTACTCAGCGTGTGTTCAACATTTCTCTTAAGCCCAATGCTGAGAACTTTAGCTCTGACAGTGCCATCTATTTTTTCACGATTTTATTCACAAACCGTCATCAGATTAGGCTGGTTCTTGATATAGTGCTCAAAATAGTCCACTACTGAGTTCCATCGCATGTCTTGTTGGGAGAGTTAGCTTGCTCCATCCCACTTTTTTCAGAGCAGCTGCTGCAAAGTGGTTGTTACGGAAGTATTTTGCAATTTCAACAACGTTAGCCTTTATTTCTGGAACACTAACGTCTTTGGCTAGGAGGTGCATCAAATGAGCACTGCAACTATATTATGTTAGCTTGGGACTCTCCTCTAAATTTCTTCTCATCTTGGATACATTTGCAGCATTGTCTGTGACCAAGCTGCATACTAGACATTTGAATTTTTTTGTCACAGTTTGTTACAGCTTTTACTGCTACTTGTAAGTATTCTGCTATGTATGCGCATTTCCTGATGTATCAATTGTTTCTGTAAGGA